GGGCCGGGGCAGAGTAAGGCTCACCTGCTGGCAGGCCGGGCCGCAGCGGTCAGCAGGGCGCAGGGCGTGTCCCTGATGCCAAAGCGTTTGTGCTACGTCCTTTTGTTGTTTTTCTGTGGCATCCGCGCTGATGGTTTGGTCACATAATCGCATTACTTAAAAGCACCCTCGTGTTCGGCTGCTTTTTATCCGCAGGATATTACAGAATCATCTCTTCTTGAAACCACGTGGGGGGAGCCTTGTAGGCGCTCAGCTGCCGTTTAAGGACAGCCCTATTGATTTTGCCTGAACTGCCCACTGTCCTTCGCCTAAGCAAGGGGGGTGTTCCCTGTCTGCAGGGGCTCGCTGGTGCTCTGGCCTTGTGCGCTGTGCCCCGTACCCCGGAGCTCTCCAGCTGGGAATTCCTCCGGGAGTGGAGGAGGCTCCGTGCCCATTGTCATTTTCTATGTGAAACAGGTTTGGGTTTTTTTGTTTGTTATTTTTTTTTGTTAGTTGGGTACACGTTTGTGAGCTTACGGTGTCAGTGCTACGAATGATAGTAACGTTAGCAAGTCAGTGTGTGGAGATAAATAGATTTTTTTTCTGTCTCGTTAGGGCTAGACGAATGGATTATCGTTAAAAACAGCAGCCACGCCTCACTGTAAAGAAAGTGTCAGCACGTGTGTGAGTCATGCAGTAATCTTTGTGCGCACAAGGAAAGTCCTGCTGCAGTGGATTAATGAATATTAGGTGTACATAGTAACATAAGGTATGAATGAAAAATAAAATCTCGTAATGCAGTATGCATCTCACCTGACGGTGACTTTAAAGGTAATGGCTGCCTGGCTTCACGGGAGCAGCCCAGGGTGGGGAGCTGGGGCGGTGGGCTCTGCGCTGGGAGAGCTGCAGTTGGATTTCCAGGCTCCTCTCCTGCGCTGTGCCCTGCCGTGAGGATGGTGGGCTGGAGCGGGGATTTTTCCAGGTAGATGTGGCCTGTTCTTCAGCATGAAAGGGTTAAGCTGAGGTTGGTGTTTATGTAACCAAACAGGGAACTCCCAGAGATGAGTCCTTGGCTATCTCCTGTGTTGATGCATCAGAAGGGTTTAAAGAAAGCCCAGCTTGTTGCTTGCTTGCACTGTAATTACGTTGCTGGAATCCTGTGCTTCAGAGTTTCCCTGGATGCCTGGGGGGGCCGGGAAGGCATTTGATTTCCCTGATGTATGACTTGGCCTGTGGAAGCCTTTTTTTGTCCCTGAGAAGTTGGAGATTGGCCACAGCTAGATAGGGGACATAGGCGAGATGTATGGGGTCCCTTTAGCTCTGCAGCCCCTCGAGTGCTGGCTGTGCCTCACTCACATACCTGGGATTAAACTAATTGGCAAATTGGGCTGAGGAAGGAGGTTTTCTGGTGGGTAGGGGCTGCCAGAGGGGCTCACGTTTCCCAGCTTGTGAAGCACAGCTCAGTGAGTTTGTGCTTTACTGGGTGCCTTCTGATGGCAGGGGGCTAGCTCCAGCCCCTGGTGCTGCATTGGTGCCTTGGGATTATTCCTTCTTCTTTGGTCAGAGAAACTCTGTGTCTGGTTTTGAGCGAACTTCTCGCTTAGGGAAGAAGCTTGAATGAGTCTCCGCACGTTTCCAAGAAATCTCTGAGTCAGGGCTCCTCTGTTTCTGGAGGAGGCTTCCCTTCCCAGAAGGGCTCACACATGGGTTGCACTGGTGGCTCTGAGTCATCCGATGGGCTTTTTTTTTTTTTTTTTTATTATTACTTCTCTTATGGAAAGGTTACACTTCCAAAGCCTTTGGTAAAGTTAATGCTCCTATATAGCGAATCTACCACGGTGCTTTGCAGATGGAGGGGAGCCCACCTGGGCTGCAGCAGCTCTGCCTTCCCGCACCCCTGCTTTCCTTGGGATCTGCCCGGCAAACGCTCCCTGTAATCCCATAGCCAGTGACTCCTCCACAGGCCTGGCTGATCCAAACTCCGCCTCTTCTCAGGGAAGCTTTTCCAATGGGAATCAAGCCTCTGTCCCTGGGAGCGCTGATGACTCGGCTCTGAGCTGTCCCTGGCTGGGTTTGCCCAGGGAAGGTGTGTGGCAATGCTCTGGGATTGCTGCTTCTCCCAGCGATACCCACCTGCTTGTGCCTGTGCATTCCCGGGCCGGGGAGCCGGACCATGCTTGAGGTTTTACTCATTTAATGTTAGTGCTGGTGAGGGTTTTTAGGTCATATCCAACATCACTTCTCGTGAGCTGGAATTTGCCATGGCTGAAATGCAAACTTTGATTAATCATCACTGATAAATACTGCCCAGTGTGTTATTTAGGTGGTAAAAGGTGCAGCCTGATACTGCTCATTCAAATCCTTTTATTTTTTTTAGTTTCATTTTTGGAAAAGCAGAGGCCTGTGCTGGCTGACAGGAGAGTGGACAGGGCGAGTGGGACAAAAACCTTTGGACCAGGTCTCCAGCTTCATCCCGAATGCTGCACTATTTGGCTCCTAGAAGAGAGAGCTGGGCAGAAATACTGCTGCACTGGGTGCCAGGTCTTCTCCTGTCTGGGGTGGGAGACGGATAATTCGGGAGTGCAGAGCAAAACCATGCTTCCCTGGGCGGCTGAGCGCCCGGCTGCCGTGCCGCCTCTCCGCCGCGGAGGTGTCGAGCCCGGTGACGAAGCCCGTGGGGAGCGGTGATTCATTTGTCCTGTGCGCACGCCCCAGTCGGCAGCCGGGCAGCCCTGCCTGCGACACCCACGCAGCCCGCTCTTGTTTCCACCTGCAGCCTTCCCAGGTCAGGAGCAGGCAGGTTTCAGGTGCCGGGGCGAGCGGGAGCAGCCGCAGCTCAGCTCCTTCGGCTGCCTGGGAGCTGCTCCCAGGGGCAGGTTCCCTTTAACAGTGTGAGCTCCTTGCTGAAGGAGCTTGTCCTCGATAGCTGTGAACTTCCAGCAGGCACTGGCGGGTTCCATCGCCTGCCGCTGGTTCCCAGCTCATCCCGTTGCCTTGCTTGCAGAGGTCAGCTCGCTTGTAGCAGCGGGGTAGGACAGCGTCAGGGTTGCCAGTCATCGCACTAGAAAGTGTAAATACCAACTCACTCATTTTGTCCCCTTGTTGTGAGATAAAACAACAGAAAGCGTCATGGGGGTTGTATCAGCTGTTCCAGTGCCTTAACTAGTTTCTGTGCTGCTGAGTAATCCTGTTAACGCCCCAAAGGTACTTTTTTTTTTTTCCTGCTCCAGCTATTAGCTGTGGCTGCTGGACTGCAGGACCTGCTTGTTCGTTAATCTGAGATGAAAAGGTCGGTTCCCTCCTCTCTTGTTTTTCTTTGTTGTTATGCTGGGCACTGGACCATCATGCAGTAATTGGGGAATTAGCCAGTTTCCTTAAGCTATGTAATTAAAAGACGTTACATCTAGGTCTCCAAATTATTTGATTAATAATTCTGTTAAAGCCGTAGCTAGCATAGTAAGAAGCTTTAGACACTTCTCCATTGAATGTTTGATGTATTGCACGCATCGCATTAGAATTGTGAAGTAATGAATTGTCTGTGAGAGAGAGACTGTTCTTGTTACAGATGGTGGGACAGGGCGCGGGGGTGGTTTGACTCCGTTCGTACAGTTTGGGTTTTGGGGGTGGGGGCAGCGAACCCACCACGTCAGCGTCTAATGGTCCTGTCCCTAGGATGGAGTGTTTTAAGGGATAAGTGTTTCTGTTCCGGTTCTTTGCACAAACGTTGGACGTTCTCTCTTGAGACTGATCGTGCTGATGTTAAAATGATATTTTTTTTTTCCCCCCAGTCTTAAGAATTGGAAAGTCCCGTCTGTCTGTGGGGCTGCCTGTAGACAGAGGCGTTGCCACAGGGGCTGGGGGGATGCGCTTCACCCCTACAAGGCTCGCCACCTCTCATGGAAATGTTCTAAATTCTCAGCTTTGGGCTATTTTAAATCTCAGCTGTGCTGCAGCGTAACTGGTTCACGTGTGGGACTCCACTTACGAGGACGTCCTGGTGTGATGCAGTAATCCCCTCGCGTGCTCCGAGCAAGCCTGTCCTGGGAAGGCTCGGCTGCTCCGGCGGCACGAGGGGCAGGATACGAAGCAGCAGCTCGTTTGCTGCTTGAAGGCGTTAGGTGAAGGAGCAGTGGCGCTGCCAGCGCCCCTCCAGCATCGTTGTGCGGGGCTCCTGCCACCAGCGCGTGTCCGGGGGCCAGTGGTGCCCGTGGGTGGGATGGCAGATGGCTTCAGCACACACTGCTCGTGGGACGGGACCCTCATCTCGCAATGGGTCCCGCTCCGGGTCTGAGCGCTGCGGGCTGCTCTGGCCTCGTGTTTCTGCTTACAGCTGCGGAGTCATTTTAAGCTGTCCAGTTTATTATGGCTTTTGTCTAAAACTTATTTAAAGCTTGTTCTTCCAAGGTACCGTTCAGCTGTTGGTGTCTGAGCAATACCAGCTTCATGTTGCAAATACTTCTGGTGGTGAAGCCCCTCGAAATCAGAGCTTTGTATCAGCCCAGCTCAAGCCAAGCTGAGATGGATTTGCAGGTAGAAAACGCCTGCTGACTTGGCAGGGAGGGGGAGCCTCCTGCATTGCTGTTCCTGTTCTAAGGTTTTCCTTAAATCCTGTCTCAAAATGCCATTTTTAGCCCTGTGCCTAGTGGATGGCCGCTTGTTCTGCAGGAGACTTACACAAGGAAGTTTGTGCCCTTTTGACCAATTTCCTTGCTCTAATTGGGGTTACACAACGAGCAGAAAAGGGAGCAACCTTCCTGCTTTTCCACAGCAGCTGCCCCTTGTTTTCTTCCTTCTGCTCTGGGACCTTCCTCCTGCCCGACCAACCAACCTTCGTTCCAGTCTCAGAGGAGCCTGAAGTGCTCACGTGCAAACCCTCTGGGTGCTGCTAAGGGCCCCTGAGATTTTTTGGTGGGTTCTGCCGCCCCCTCGGTGCAGCCTGGGCAGCAGGACCTGAGGGGGGAGCAGGGAGGTGGGGCAGGCAGTGGCACAGGCTTGTCTTTAACAGTTGAGTACCCACTTATGTTGGCATGCTTCTCCCTTGCTCTCACAAGTGCTGGAGCTGTGATATTTAAGTCAGTGGATGTCCTTTAAGCAGCGGTAGGGCTGGGGCACCTCCGCTCGCTCTCGGCGCCGAGGCGACTCATACCGAAAGTGCTGGCTAGCCGGCGTGCGGGTGAGTGGGCTGCCGGAGCGCCGTCGGCACAGGGCTGCCTGACCGGCCGTCCTGCTGCCTAGAGCAGGCTCTGAACATTGTTTATCAGAGTATTAATAGTTTCAGTACTTTAATTGAGAAAGATCTTCAGCACTCTTTGCGGGTCCCCCAGGACCAGGTGATAATACCGCATTGTGTTTTGCGGGTGGGGTGGGAGTTTGGCTCCTGCATCCCGAATGTTCCTTTTGCATTTTTAAGTTGATCTAACTGGATACTGGTAAATGCGCAATGTCTCAGGGTTAAACTTCAAGTGTTTGGTAGGGGCGGTATAGATTCAATTCTAGGGTGTCTGATTTAAATCCTAAATTTCCCCTTTTGAATGGGACCAGATGAACTAATAAGCAGTACTGAATTTGAGTTGAATGAGCTTGATTATTTTTTTAAGAGGCTAAATATAAATAGTAAGGAGTGATTAACTTGCAGTGGGGATTTGATCAAGTTCAAACTTTAAGTGTTAACTCTTACGGTGATTAAAAACTGCTTCTAGTGGTGAAGATTCTGTTGTGGCTCTACTGCTTACTTTGGGTATATTTAAAATACTGTTAAAACAGGCAAGCTGGTACCACGTGGTGGAGGTTAAAATGGAGAGCGTGTTTATTTCTGCTGTGAAGGTCTGTCTCACAACACAGAATGCCTTTTGAGATTGTTAATGCTTGTATTTGTCTTGCTGTGCAGGGCTGTGCATCTGTGACTCTTTGGGGACTGAACTTCAAGAGTCCTTTTTTTTTTCTCTCACGTGATATCAGGAGCTTCAGGCCTTTTCTAAGCCAAAACAAACACAGATGTTTCAAGCTGCAGAAGTTTTGGTGCATACCACGTTATCGTAATCAAGAATAATCCAGAACCACAGCATCAAGTGTATCTCATTTCGTATTACAGAGTCTTCGACCTTTCGACCATCCAGCCTTCTCCAAGGTGATGACTCCTGTCTCCTGAGACGTTGGAAAACCTAGTTTGGAAGAAGAGTAAAGATACAGTTGATGCTGAACTACGTGAGTCCTCAGATTGTTTTGTTTACGATAACGCCGTTTGCACCAGCAATTCCTATCCAGCTCGGATTGCACAACGGTCATTATCTCAGAGTTTCTGTGCAGTGGGGTTTCTCCAGTGGAAATCTTACTCATATGTTTCCAGCAGGGATGATGATGATGTTGCAAGGAGTGGAGAATTTTATAAGGCACAATTGAATATTAGGTCAGGGATGCGGAATGAGCAGAACAAGGAGCATATGGGGCTCAGGACTTTGTTCTGTCCAACGAGCCGTGCCTGGTAACGCCTCTCTGCCGGAGATCTGATCGGCTGGTGGAAGTCGGTAGTGCAGAGATGCAAAGTCTGCTGCAAGACTTCTCACCTTATCTCCCTTGCTATCTCTGGTCTTGGTGACAGGTACTGCTAGATGAATTAATGCAATGAGATCACGCTTGTGTCCACAGAAAGGGTGGGACTGCCAGAGGGTAAACTTCATTCAAAGCATGGTGATTTATCAGTCTTACGTGGTGAAACACTGGGACTTTTTAAAAACAAATAAGTACAACCCAAAAATATTTTCCCTGTCTGCTGTAGTAACCTCTTAGGGAAGACTACCACCGGGGCTTGGTTTTGACTTGCTCAGAGTAAGAAAATGGATCTGTGCTTAGTTCCTCCTCTCCCCTACCCCCCTCAAAAAAAAAAAAAAAAGTCTTTGAAATGTTAGAGCATGAGCATTTAGTGTCTAGATCTTTGTGAAAGTCTTTGAAACTATTTTCCAAGAGGTACCGGTGAAGAGGAGGTGCATTGGAAACAAGGCTTCGGTTTGATGCAGCTGATGTATGCTTGCAGCGGGTGAAGGCTGGCCCGGCAGCCATCACAAGGGGGTTTACTGCTAAACTGAAATGAGACTGTCCTTTGGGGAAGAAGTGTTTTAGTCAGAGAGACTTGAATTGATTTGACCCTTTAGGCATCGGTTCTGCAATACTGCCTCAAATTCCCTTTACATTACTGAGCAGCAGAAAATGCATGTTGGAAATCAGACTTTCTGCAATACCTGAACAAATAGGAGTCAGTCAAGCTTTCAGTTGTTCGTGCCGAATTGTAGTGGTGTGTAGACCTTGAATAAAGCATGAGATTCGCATTTAATGGATTAAATTGTTCTTTGCATGGAGTGGTGGTGCAAGAGAGCACGTGCACTGGCACCACAGTGTTCCATTTCATTGGAGTATCCATTAAGGGCAGGGAATAGTGTGTTAATTCTAAACAAGGCATCGCTTCCTGCACGTGTGGGCTGAGGGGGTAAGAGTTTTATGTGTTGGTCTCAAGTTCCTTGGTGAGCGGGCTGTCGTGCCTGCTGGGAAGTCCTCAGTGAAGGAACCCCCAGGTCCATACGCTGAATCAGTAGATACCCATACAAAAGGATAACTTGGGCGTTTTCTTCCAGAGTTTTTTGGAATATGTTAATTTGCAAACTTGCTTTTGCGGTAAAACAAGCGTTGATTATTTTGACTCGTTCGCACTGTGTCTCTCAAACAACTGTTCTAGGAAATGTTGCTTTGAGTAATGAGGCTGATTTATACCTTCAAAAATGCATTAAGCCTCCAGCCCACAACTGGTCTATCGGTAATGAGCCATCGCTTTTTTGTGGAAACACAAGTAGGCAGAGACACGAGTGCATCAGTAGGTGAAAGCCTTCCAGTGTTGAAATAAGGGATAGTATAAGAAATTAACGCACTTGCTCATCAAATGTGATCTTCTTTCTCTTTCAAGAGCCAAGGATGAAGCGGCGAGCATCAGACAGAGGAGCTGGGGAAACATCCACTAAAGCAAAAGCTCTTTGTACAGGGATTTCTGGAAATAATGCCAAGAGAGCAGGCCCTTTTATACTAGGTAAGCAGGGAGGGGTTTCTTCTTCAGCTTTCAGGGTAGCTACTGATTACAAAACTGGAAATAGAAGGCACTATGAAGTGAGGCAAAGCAGATGTGTGATTTAGCATCTTACCTCAGAGCGCAGTTCACCTCGTGTAGCAGAGCAGCAGCCCTTGGAGCTAATCGAGCTGGGGAGATTTGTGATGCGAATATAGCAAGGCAGGCATGGCTTTTAAGATAAATATGAAGCTTTTCTTCCCCCCCC